ATAGGGTTTTTAAGGGAACCAGGTAATTTTACACTACTTTACGTTTCGCTGTTTTATCGTGACAAATAACGTTTGTTTGTCTTTTGTAGTTTCATTTTCAGCCCATAGGTGGCACTAATAGAAAAATATTACCTTACACACGGCTTACAGGATTGTTTGTTTATTTGTAGTTAAGCACAAAGCTACACAAGGCCTATCTCGGTTTCTAACGTTTTAAGTTCGCGGACATGCCGCTGTGCCACTGGGGGGACGACAATTAACGTAAACTACTCAGTTCCTTTGTGTTTTGGAACAAAGCCACTTTGGACTATCTGTTGCGTGCACTGGGTTTTCGGGTTGTAAGTACATAAACTTACCTCTGTACCACCAGGGGACACTGCAATAGTTAATGCTTTATGAAAAAAAAGGCAATAAATTTATACATTTTTTTTTACTGTTATGAGTAAAAGACAACTAAAACACAATTAATATTTCGCGCATTTTCGCGAATTAAGATGTTTGTATTCTGTCATATATTAAATTAATATATTTATATATATTATACAACGTTACTTTCAGACAGGGCTATCTTATGTGGGAAAATATCGAACAAACCAAAAAGTATTGGCTCGTATAGGCGAAGGTTCTAGTAAAATATAGGTTAGTGATTATAGGTGGGGCTGTGTAAACGTTTCGGTAAAAAGGAAAACAAAACATACAGAAACAAACGCATTATTAATTGGAATCTGAAATCAGCTTCTAAAAGCCCCAAATCTGCCCGAGAAACATACCAGTTTTTGTAAACCCCTGTTTTATAACGTGGTTTATGTTCTGTTATTAATACAGTTCCTGTTGTATATTCGTGTTTTATAACGTGGTTTATGTTCTGTTATTAATACAGTTCCTGTTGTATAGCCGTGTTTTATAACGTGGTTTATGTTCTGTGTTTTATAACGTGGTTTATGTTCTGTGTTTTATAACGTGGTTTATGTTCTGTTATTAATACAGTCCCTGTTATATAGCCGTGTTTTATAACGTGGTTTATGTTCTGTGTTTTATAACGTGGTTTATGTTCTGTTATTAATACAGTTCCTGTTATAGATCCCGTGTTTTATAACGTGGTTTATGTTCTGTTATTAATACAGTTCCTGTTATAGATCCCGTGTTTTATAACGTGGTTTATGTTCTATTATTAATACAGTCCCTGTTATATAGCCGTGTTTTATAACGTGGTTTATGTTCTGTTATTAATACAGTTCCTGTTGTATAGCCGTGTTTTATAACGTGGTTTATGTTCTGTGTTTTATAACGTGATTTTGTATAATCCTACAAAAAATATTATTTTCGTCAAGTTGTCCATTACGATTATTCTAACATCATTAAAAATGAATTAACTTCAAACAGAACAACAAAATAATAAAAACACGCCGTGCGTATCATATCATGCCAATACTGTTAGAACTATCGTGTGGACACGAGAGATTCTGGACACTAAAGGTAGTAACATAAACAACGGCATATTTCTTCACATGCGAGATTCTGGACACTAAAGGTAGTAACATAAACAACGGAATATTTCTTCACATGCTACATTCTGGACACTAAAGGTAGTAACCTAAACAATGGCATATTTCTTCACATGACCTTTAGTGTCCAGAATCTAGAGTAACATAAACAACGGCATATTTCTTCATGTGCGAGATTCTGGACACTAAAGGTAGTAACATAAACAACGGCATATTTCTTCACATGCTAGATTCTGGACACTAAAGGTAGTAACATAAACAATGGCATATTTCTTCACATGCTAGATTCTGGACACTAAAGGTAGTAACATAAACAACGGCATATTTCTTCACATGCGAGATTCTGGCCATCAACAAGAATTGAATACAACACGGATAACAACCTAAGGAGAACAGTCATAAGATATTTAATAACAAAATCTCAGCATCTCTCAAGGTCATTTCTTGCTCGACAGCTTTCTGACCCTCGGTGTCCTTCAGGGAATTCGAAGTTCCGGGGTCAAGTATGCGTCGTTGACCAGTTTTTCTACTAGACAACGTGGTACTGAAGAAGACCCACGAACACTAGTTTCCTTGACATAAAGGCGTCTCATGTTTCATTCCGTTAAATGTGGTTTTTCACCAACTTACTTTTATTATCAACACTTTTAATCCTTGTTCAGCTGCTGTTTATCAGTTACTTGCTACTGTTACTTTAAAACTACGTCTACTACACCTCCAACCCTAACGTTTCTCAGTGTTAAAACTACGTCTACTACACTTCCAACCCTAACATGATTTTTATCCTCGTCAGTGTTTTCAGTGTCTTCTCTTTACGTTTTGTTTTTACTTTCCGAAGTGAGAGCAGTTTTTACTACCTCTTTCGTGATTGGTGAAACTTCTTGTGACGTCACTAACCCGACCAGTCACGACTCCGTTCACAGATGGAGCTCGCATCAAAAGTAACCTGCACGTGTTGGCAGCACAAGGTGCAAGTACCTGTCTGGGGAATAGCAAACTTACAAGGAACATGCTGTAAGCGTTCGTGCGCAATAACGACCACTTTTTTTTATTCCGCTTGTTAAAGTTGATAAAGTATGTTAACTAAAGTGACTTTCTTAACCCTAGTTCTAGTTTTTGGTTGTTTTTGGACAAATGTTTGTAGCGACAAGCCCCGCGTGAACATAGTGGACAGCGTCTTTCCTGACCATCACGAAGCAGTGCCCCCGAATCCTGATGCCCATCCCGTCTCGGACGAACCCGTACTTATTCCTGTTATTCACGCGGGTTCGACTAGGCACGAACCCGAGGTCTCACACGAACATGATAAGCACATCCACCGCTATCAAGTGGCAAAAGTGGACTTCCCCCACGTGTCAACTCCACTCATAATCTCTTTGTGGATCTTCATTGCTGGCTTGGCCAAAATAGGTAAGTTTCCTGTCTTACTAGCTAATAGGTAAGTTTCCTGTCTTACTAGGTTTAATGAGTAGCACGTTATAAACGAATGTTCCCTTACCGAAGATTTTGAAAAGCAACTTTGGTTTTTCTAGCTAGATTAAGTGCCCCCCCCCCTCAGTGGCTCATCGGTAAGTCTGTAGGCCTATAACGCTTACAACCGGGTTTCGATACCCGTGATGGGCACAACACGGATAGCCCAATGTGTAGCTTTATTTTAGAGAACACAAACAAACTAGATTAAGCTATATAGTAACAAATAATAAGAGAGAGGATACAATGGGGGTATCATACAAAATTCCTGTTACACGTTCAGTGTTGTTTGAAACCTGGGGGTCCAAATGTGGTTAGAAGGTAACGTTTGAAACCTGGGGGTCCAAATGTGGTTAGAAGGTAATGTTTGAAACCTGGGGGTCCAAATGTGGATAGAAGGTAACGTTTGAAACCTGGGGGTCCAAATGTAGTTAGAAGGTAACGTTTGAAACCTGGGGGTCCAAATGTGGTTAGAAGGTAACGTTTGAAACCTGGGGGTCCAAATGTAGTTAGAAGGTAACGTTTGAAACCTGGGGGTCCAAATGTAGTTAGAAGGTAACGTTTGAAACCTGGGGGTCCAAATGTGGTTAAAAGGTAACGTTTGAAACCTGGGGGTCCAAATGTGGTTAGAAGGTAACGTTTGAAACCTGGGGGTCCAAATGTAGTTGGAAGGTAACGTTTGAAACGTTTATTTTCGGTAAGAAGTAGCGCTAGCTAAGCAGACAGCCGACACCAAGACTTGTTTAAACACCGTTTTAACATATTGTTGCGTCAGCGAGATCACGTGATTATTCTCACGCCCTCTGCTTTCTAAAACTATCCTGTACCTTGGCGAATGCTCTAGCATTTACTAGATATAGGGTAGTCTGGTATATAAAAGAGGGTGACAACGTGACAGGATAATGTGTGTGTAGACAGTGAGTAATTGATTTGCAGTCAGAGAGTATTATTGAGCACGTTCGTTGTTATAGCGTTTATTTTAGCGCGATTGTTGAACTTAAGTATATCGTAAAGTTATATCCGGAAAGAATAAACCAGTTTTATTAAGTAAGGACTTGTGTCGCTAAAGTTTCGTCGGAACGAAGTTACGGAAAGTTAATTAACAAACGGAGACGTAACAATATTATATTGTCATATAATATCTGTTTTTAAACGGCCTTGCTGTAACAATTATTAGCTCGGGTACAGCTTCTTCACATAATCTTTATAGGCGAAAGAAATCTGGTCTTTAAAAATAATTTCGGAACAGTTGAATGAGATGAACAGACCTGTACATCTGTAGATGTTATATTAAAACGATTTTTAGTATGCAGATTAGGAAATGAAGTGAAAAATCACAGCCATTATATAGTCGAGGTGGAACGGGATGTATCAGAACTACATTTTGCCATTGCTTAGCGTTTTATGGATGTGTGATGCCACAGAAAATTGATCGCTTTTGGAATATGTAACAAACCTTTCCGATGTAAACTATCCAAACACTCAGATCATAAAGATGTGTTCTGGAACAGGATATCCTTTGTACTTAATGGCATTAGGAAACAAAGAAATATGGATCAACTTGTGGGTAGGGGACTATCTAAAATGAGACCGATCAAAAGTCGTGGTAAACAAAGTCTACTAATAGGTCATTGGCAGAACTTGTCCACCTGTCTTAGTACGCTACGTTATAGAGAAGTGGCGTAAGTCACGTGTACAAAAGCTGCTTCCACAAAATATATGTTCAATCGTTAAATTCCTCAAGAAGCTGAAGAATGAAACTAGTATTTATGCTATTTCATATGAAGACATACCGGTCAAGTCGTACACTAAATGAATTATGGAAAACAGCACGGAGGAGTGGTGTGCTTCGGACATGACAGCCTTATGACAGAGCCTTTTGCAGTGAAAACTACACTAAAGGGTTATTTTCAAGAATCACGGTCGTACGATAGAACATGACCGGACGTGGCGACATGTACTGTAACGATGTGGTGAGGTCCAAAATCGTTTTAATATACCGTACTCAACCTGTGTATAGAAATTGTTAGTGTAAGACTAGTTTGTAGATATAGACTAGAGAAGATTTGGTCTTATGTTAACATAACTTATCACTAGGTCTATCCAAATCTTATGTTAACATAACTTATCACTAGGTCTATCCAAATCTTATGTTAACATAACTTATCACTAGGTCTATCCAAATCTTATGTTAACATAACTTATCACTAGGTCTATCTTGGATAGACCTAGTGATAAGTTATGTTAACATAAGATTTGGATAGACATAGTGATAAGTTATGTTAACACAAGATTTGGATAGACCTAGAAATAAGTTATGTTTACATAAGATCTGTATAGACCTAGTGATAAGTTATGTTAACATAAGATTTGGATAGACCTAGTGATAAGTTATATTAACATAAGATTTGGATAGACCTAGTGATAAGTTATGTTAACACAAGATCTATATAGACCTAGTGGTAAGTTATATTAACCTCTGTGTAGACTCGAAGATATGAAACATGGTTGGCTTTGAAAAGGATATAATAAATGCATAAAGAATTGGGTGTTTCAGTTTATTGAAGTTAAGTCTGTGCTCAATTCTCTCCTCTATCTAAACCTCCTCTCTACTGCCTCCCCTCCCCCTCATTGGCTCAGCGGAAAATCAGACGGCTTATAACTCTAAAAATATGGTTTCGATATCCAAGATGGATACAGTTTTGCTCTTGACAACAAATTCTCTCTCTTTTGAGCACTCCGATGTATGAATAAATCCTCCAATAATCGCACATGTGTTGATTTAACCTGTACGTTTATTTTTATTTTTTTTTAAATGGAGAAAGAACAGGTAATTTAGGTCACTAAAAAAAGTAGCGAGAATATTTCAAAATAAGATCATAAATAATGGCACAAGAGAAGGAAGTGTAATAATGTAGAACTGATTATAAACGGAAGGTCAGAGGTCAGATAGAACACTTCTACGTGAGAGACAAATTCGTTTTCTTGGTCGGGAGAAAAATGGCGACGGAGAAGAAAAAAAGAAACGAATTTCGCTGAAACTTGCAAAACTGTAGATTTCGCTTGCAAGAGGAAAGATGTGGTGACGAAGAAATGAAGCTGGAAACGATTGCACACAAACATTTCAAGGAAACGGGGGGAAGCTATCAAATGATTTCTAAACTCAGTTAACTAACGTTACGTTGAACTTTTTTTTTATCTTCTGAAAATTTGAAAAATAAATGAAGTGGTCAAAAGTTTCAGTTTTGGAGCGTAAGAATATATAAAAAACAAACAAGATATGAACCCTTACATTTAGGCTTGTTCGCTTTTTTATCAACTAAAAGCCCTGTTTTCTTTCTAGCTACGTACCTTGCGCAATGTGAAAACATGTATTATTTAAGGTTGTTTTGTATGTTTAAGTTACTGGTTTAGTGGCGAGTGTATTACCACCATAGTCTTTCTCGGATGGTTTATTACCAGTGATGTTTTTTAGGCTAACCTTACTGTCTAGTTGGATGCACCCAGAGGTGCCTAGTTTTTAATGTAGAACGTGTAGGTGCCTGTGGCTATTCTATATTCTACAAACCTCCTGTATGTGTTGACTAGTAATATAGCAGGCACGTTAACTGCCAAGGCTAAGCCTTCTTCCAGGTTAACGATGCGGTTATATAAACTGTCGTTCACGATGTATTACAGACTGGCGTTCATATATTCAAAACTTTAATAGGAGAACTTCCTGTGAAATAACAGTTTGTATTAGTGGTAAATTCCGTGATTTTTTAAATGGTTTACAGAAATGATAAGGTTTCTGATGCTGTATAGTCGTTGTATTGTTTACAGAAATGATAAGGTCTTTGATGCTGTATAATCGTTGTGTTGTTTACAGAAATGATAAGGCTTCTGATGCTGTATAGTCGTTGTGTTGTTTACAGAAATGATAAGGTCTTTGATGCTGTATAATCGTTGTGTTGTTTACAGAAATGATAAGGCTTCTGATGCTGTATAATCGTTGTGTTGTTTACAGAAATGATAAGGTTCTGATGCTGTATAGTCGTTGTATTGTTTACAGAAATGATAAGGTTTCTGATGCTGTATAGTCGTTGTATTGTTTACAGAAATGATAAGGTTTCTGATGCTGTATAGTCGTTGTATTGTTTACAGAAATAATAAGGTTTCTGATGCTGTATAGTCGTTGTGTTGTTTACAGAAATAATAAGGTTTCTGATGCTGTATAGTCGATGTAATTGTAAATTTCTACATTAATGAATGGCTTGCAAAAATACCAGGTTTTACAGTATTGAATAGTTCTAATTTGCACCACAGATGGCGTAAGCAAAAGCTAACTGGGGGAGGGGCAAGTGTATAAGAGACCTGAACATTATTAATATGGGGATAAGTGGGTATGACTCCATGAAAATGGGGCGTCTATAGGCTTCTTGAGGGGCAACTCCTAAGATATGCAAATCATGTAATGTATGGCAGCCTTACAATTATTAGCACACTGACGTCCCCTAGTTGCCCCTCCTATCATTTGCACACATATTTGGACTTTCCTACATTAAAGATGTTTAATGGTGATATGTCTCAGGCAATACGAGTTCTTCATGTACCTGTATTCATGTTTAAATATAATATAATGACGTATAAAGTATATGTATTTAATGTTTATCCAGTCTATCCCACGTTCCACTCCATCAACTGGTTCTCTAGCGTGTGTCTCCGGAATCTGGAAACAGCATTACTTTACGTCTTCCTGTTCTTACTTGGAGACTTTAAACCGTAACTAGTATAAGTACCTGTACGTTTTTAGTATAGGAGGTAAGTCAGGTAGACAGTCGATATGTTTCCCAGAGTGAAAACAACACATGGTCGGAGACACCAGCACCAGTAGTCCACAGGTCCAGTAAACACTAAGTTTTATATAATGTTGTTAGTACAACACGTTGTTGGAGACACCAGCACCAGTAGTTCTCAGGTCCAGTAAACACTAAGTTTTATGTAATGTTGTTAGTACAACACATTGTTGGAGACACCAGCACCAGTAGTTCTCAGGTCCAGTAAACACTAAGTTTTATGTAATGCTGTTAGTACAACACATTGTTGGAGACATCAGTAGTTCTCAGGTCCAGTAAACACTAGGTTTTATGTAATGTTGTTAGTACAACACATTGTTGGAGACACCAGTAGTTCTCAGGTCCAGTAAACACTAAGTTTTATGTAATGCTGTTAGTACAACACATTGTTGGAGACACCAGTAGTTCTCAGGTCCAGTAAACACTAAGTTTTATGTAATGCTGTTAGTACAACACATTGTTGGAGACACCAGTAGTTCTCAGGTCCAG